CTCTCTCTCTCTCTCTCTCTCTCTCTCTCTCTCTCTCTCTCTCTCTCTCTCTCTCTCATTTCTTTCTCTTCGTTCTTCGAAGTCTTTCACTTTGCAAACCCTAATAACACTTTAATACTTCTCAATCTCCCTATAACTCTCGGATCACTATGGTCTAGATACTTTATCCAGAAGACAAGTTTTGTGTTTGAGAAGCATAGTAATTAAAAGAAAGTTGCGCTGCTCTTGCTGGTTGTGAGGGTATGTGTTCTTTCTTCAGTCTCTTTATCTCAAATTGTCTTTACATTTGAAGAGAATAACTGTGTGTTAGGTTAAATTGTCTTCTTAATTATCAGCAACCTCTCACTTGTACTAAGACTTTTTTTAAGTGGGTTTGTCAGCTTTTGCTGAAGCGTGCTTGCAATAAAGGTTTTTTCTTTTCTATTTTTGTTTTGTTTTGCTCTCTATCTTTTTGAACCTTCCAAATTAGTCTTTAAATGATTTTAAATTGGGTTTAATGAGTAGTGAAGAAACCTCTTGCATTTTTGTAGCTTAAACATTCCATTTTACTCATTAATTATCTTTACTCTTAGTTTTTTCTTCCTAACTAGAGTCTTTGTCCCCAAACAAAGAAACACTTTGCAAAACCCAAATAAGAGTACTAATTGAATGCGACTATTTTCTACAGAGAGAGATCAATATAATGGAAGTTGCTAGTCAAGAAGAACATGACACCCCTATCCCAATAAACACCTCTTATGGTGGGCATGGACACATGATTCATCGTCATCGTAATCCTTCCAATTTTACTCATCCAAACCCTCTAGTAGTCCCCTCAAATAGTAATGGTCTTGACAAAAACAATGATCATCCTCTTCATCATCATGTGGGTTACAACATCATGATCAGCAACAATAACAACAACAGCAAGGAGAAGCCTAAGCTTTACAAGTACAAGGAATGTTTGAAGAACCATGCAGCTTCCACGGGAGGCCATGCTATTGATGGTTGTGGAGAGTTTATGCCAAGTGGTGAAGAAGGTTCCATAGAAGCTCTCACTTGCTCAGCTTGTAACTGCCATAGAAACTTCCATAGAAGAGAGATAGAAGGCGAAGATAAGATCTACTTTTCCCCTTACCACCACAACCAACCGCAGAGAAAGCTCATGTTCCATAGCCACCACAAGATGACCAAATCACCATTACCACAGAAAATGATAATGCCGATTGGCGTTGCAACCGCAGCTGTATCAAACTCAGAGTCTGAAGAAGACTTACCATTTCAGCAGCCACCACCGCCGTACAATCACGGTGGTCATAGTCAAAAGAAGAGGTTTAGGACAAAGTTTACTCAAGAGCAGAAGGAGAAGATGCTGAGTTTTGCGGAGAGGATTGGTTGGAAGATGCAGAGACAAGAGGAATCTGTAGTTCAGCAGTTTTGTCAAGAGATTGGAGTTAGGAGAAGAGTTCTTAAAGTTTGGATCCATAACAACAAACACAATCTATCCAAGACGAGCAACAACGCTAATAACAATGTCGAGATTTCTGCTGGTAACAACGACATCAATAAATCCCCTATTGGAAATCTTGCTTCTAGTTCTTAATTAGTTCACGTTGAGATTATTATATATATATATATATATATATTTTTTTCTTAATGTAAGTACCGTATGGTTTATGTTTTAACTTAATCATTAGACTTTGTAGTTTATGATCATTTATCTCATTTATTCATTCCAGTAATATATGCATGCAATATATCAATATCTATTTTTCAAAAAAAAAAATATATCAATATATATATATATATATATATATATAGATATGTTTAGCTGTGAATATAGGCTGTACACAGTATACGTATGATTGATCATCACATGATCAAAAATCTATTGCACGGAAAACAAAAGGAAGCAATAATATACTATTAGCTTGGCTCTATTATTAGTGGGAGTTGAAGATTGTCATGTAGGGGCGGGCACAAGTCGAGTACTTGGTGTTTTCGATATATTTAGTACTTGGCTTGACTTGTATGAGTATTTTAATTTTGGACTTGTACTTGGTTTGTTAAAACCGAGTATTTGCAGTTTCAAGTACTTCCAAAAATTGATGGACTTGCAAGTTACTTGCCTTGTTTTATTACTTGTTATTTGTAAAAAAAATTTAAAATTACTTGATAACTATTGGTAAATTATTTGATAATTAGTTAAAATTTAAAAATAAATAAATTTATTATATATAAATAATATGTCATTGTTTTCATTTTGTCATTGTTTTCTGATTTTTAATCATTCATAAAATAGATTATATTAAGCAAAAATTCCAAAATGTTTATATAAATATATCACTTATGTTTGATTCACTTATAAAAATTGAAATATAAACGAATCGTTTTACGATTATTTAGGAAAATGTATTTTTGTTCATAGAAAAAAATGAATAATAAACCAAATAACGTTGAATAATTAATTTTCTTTTATTATTTTGTATTTGTTTGTATTTGAAAGTAGTTTAAATAGACTTTTTGATACACATCTTAGTTAAAACAAGTATTCGACTTTAAGGATCATGTACCAGCCAAGTAGTGAACATGAGGCAAGTAACAAGTAATTGTGGCCACTCATAAAATACATAAATTAATTAAAGAAATATAATACTAAGTATTTAATAAACCAAATAACATATGACAAGTAACAAGTAAATAATGACAAGTAATAAACCAAGTAACAAACCAAGTAGTTAAAAATTAAAATGAATTTGATATTTGACTTGTACTTGCGAGTAATAAAATCCATTTATTTGTTATTCCACTTGAATGGAGCAAGTACTTATTTTTTCAAACCAAACCGAATCAAATATCGAATACAAGCCGAGTATTAAGTATTTGTACCCAGCCCTATTTTCGTGGTGAGTGTAAGAAGAACATGCCCATTGAGATATGTAAAGGGGTTCATGGGTTCAAAAACCTAGAAAAATCAATTAAAATATAATATATGCTGTGAACCCATCCCTCCTAGACTCATCCCGACGAACCTGTATCATAGGAATTTTACGGACTCCACGCCACGTGGCGGTCCGCGATTGATCAGTTTTTAACTTTTTTTTTTTTGAAAAGTAAACGAAAAAATAAAAAAAAAATATTTTTTTTTTGTTTGAACCCCTTCACCATCGGTTCGCTGATGGGGGTGCTCTAAGTCAAAGGAAGCAATAAACAAAGGAATGCAATTAGTATTCCTATCACGTGTGACGTATTTAGGTTGAGTAAATGCTTGGTTGGTGTCACAACTCACAGGTGAACTCATTAAACTTCCTTCAACGTAGTAGTTTCAAAATTTATTCGTGGCATGTGTTGAAAGGTACTGTAATTTACATGCGAGAATTACGTCATGCATTCTTTCTGACAGGGTTAAGATTTTAAGATATTTTAACCCTGTAACATGTTTCGGTTATTGAAATATACTAATTTCATTCAGTAAACATTTTTTTTGTGGGTAAAAGCATTAAGTAAACTTCATTATGTGTTGTTGTAATAAGAAAATAGAATTTTGCATCTTATAAACATAAAAAAACACAAATTCACAAAATAGCTAAAATTTCTCTCTTTATCTCTCATACTTTCTCTTTCTATCACTCTACTCTCTCTCCAGTAGCTGCTTAGGTTATATGAGGCCTAAGGCCAAATTTAAAAAGAAAAATTTGTATAGAGGAAAGTTGGAACTTGGGGCCCTTGGACTCACACCAACTTCATTCTACCACTACGCTACAATAATGTTTTTAAATTTGATGCCCAAAAAATTATATATTTATTTGAGGCCTGAGACAAAAGCCTTTTTCAACACATGGTAGGCATGTCTCTGTCTCTCTCCTAAAATTATAATCTCCTTTTTTTTAGCTATTTGGCAAATAAGTCCGTAAGAAAATAATTGGTTAACAAAAAAAAGAATTGTCATTTGTCATGAAAGAATGTCGGACAGAGAATTTGGTGATCTTAGATTCCAATAGCTAATCGCTGGGTTCTGTCCCAATTTTTTTGCAACTGTTGGTTGGTCACGACTGTAAAATAAACCGATCAAGAAAAAAGCTACACAATTTCTTTAATTTGATCAAGCAAGAAAACCAAACACTCTCAAAAAATATTCAACCAAAATGAAAACAAACTAGGCCACGCCGATCTATATTCAGCTGACAAAACTCAAAAGCTCCAAACAAACACCCTCATTTTGAGGGGAAAATCCTTAAAGTAGAGGAACGAAGGTGTTTTACTTCAACTAGGGGTGTTCAAACCTGTAAAATGTTTTGGATTTGGTAAAACTGATTATACCTAATGGATGTTGTTTTTGAGAAGCCGCGGTATATGGATATGGTTTGGTATATAAACTGGTTATACAGATTAACTAAAATATAGTAGTAGAATTATATGTAAATTATATGATTTAATTGATAATATATACATAATTTATCTTATTGATATGCTCTTTATATTTAAAATTCTAACTTTAGTAATTTATCAAAGTTATTTTTATCAAATTAAATAAAACATAAATTTTAAATATTTGTGCTATTATTTAGTTATTTTATAATACTATCGTATTACCATTTTTTTATTTAACTTAATATGCTTAGTAATTATTTAAAATAATATAATAAAATAGAAAAAAATTAGAGAAATTTCATTGGATAGTCTTTTTAGTTTATTTTCACAAAATAGTCCTTAAGGAAGAAAATGACCAAAATTAATTTTTATTAAAAGGTAAATATGCACTTATACACTTGGGTTAACTAATCTAGACTTAGGGTTTAAATTTAAGGGGTGATATTTTGGGTGTAGGGTTTCAAATTTTTTTAAAAAATTAAAAATTAAAAATTTCAAAATAAAAAAAGGATATTTTGGTCATTTTATTTTTTAAAGGCTATTTTCTGACATAAACTTAAAAAGAGCTATTTAAGAGAATTACTAAAACTGAATTATCTATATGTTTTAATAAAGTAGATAAATAATCATATTAAGTAAAATTTACAAAATGTTACAAAATATAATATATTTATGATTTTTAGTCAAAACGGAATAAATCGAAAGCCGATGGTATATAAACTGAAACAAACCAAAGTAGATAGGATTTTAATATGTTAGCTATTTTTTATAAACCTAAAAACCGAAGAAACCGATCCGAAATTTGGATTGAACACCTCTATCGTCAACTGTCATTAGGGGCTCTTGACAAAAAAATATTTTAGACCTGTTAATTATCAAAATTTAATATTAATAAAAAATAAATCCACTAATTTACTTGTTTTTATTTGAGTAATAACTAAAATACTTTATGTTATTACATTTTTATAAAATAACATAAATTTAAAAGGTTATATAATACATTTAAAAAAAAAAAGGAAGGGCCCTGGGTCAGTCATTAACCCACCCCCCCCCCTTAATAAGTAGGCACTGATTGTCATCCTCTAATTTATTTCTAAAAGACTTTATAATTTGGACACAGAATATCCCGTGTGATTTGCAGAGTATGAATCGAGTTTATATATGTCGATCACAAAAATATATTCTATAATTCACATTTGAATAACCAATCTTATTAATTATGATAATTACTAAAATATGATATATAAAGAGTAATTTATGGGGTTGTGATACATATAAAATTATAGTGACTAAAATAAAAAAAAAAAGGAAAAATTTTTAAAAGGGTGAATAATAGAGCTGGAATTTTTCTCAAACCCACATATCCCGCCCGTTTTCCCCACTGCAAAACGGGTGTGGGTTGAGCGATTTGAGAAAAAAAAATAGTTTGGGTGTGTTTTGAACTTATTTTAAGCGGGTGGATGCGGATCATCCGAATTTGAGTCACAAATATACTCGTCAACCCACAATTCTTTTTTAGAATTTTTTTCTTGGAAAATAAATAAAATATTATAAATGTATATATAAGTTTAATTACAGGTATATTGTTTTAATATATTTTTTAAAATAATATTAAAATAATTATTTTTAATATAATCAATATTAACCGTGGATTTTAGCGGGATGTGTGCAGGCATAAAACCTTTTGATTGTGGATTATGCATATCAGATTTTTGGATCAAAAAATTGATCTGACCTGCAGTGGGATGGATCGGGGTGGGTTGAACCGCAAACGCATCACTAATAAATAGTGCACTCTCACCTTTTTGAAATTTGAAGGGACACAGTTTAAAAAAAATAAGGCAATAAAGGGATGTTAGAAATTATCTTACATTACTATAATCAAGTTGTTTTGTACTTTAAACGCTACTAGATTTTAATCCGTGATTTCAAAGCACATGATCATGTTCCTCTTTAAATTCCATTTAAAATCGATTAATATTTATAAAATGTAATATTTTTTTTCATAAATTTAATACTTTTTCTAGCAAATTTATAATTTTCACCTTCAGTAATTTTTCATGTTTATTAGTTTCATAATTTTTGGAACATTTATATATTTTCAGTTACAATGTTATTTTCTTAATATATATATATATATATATATATATATATATATATATACACATTTACCTATACACCGAACCATATTTTAACCAATAGAAAAACTAATTACATAACAAAATTAATAAA